TTTGTTTTTGAGACAGAGTCTCCCTGTGTCACCCTTGATAGAGTGCCATGGCATCACAGCTTACAGCAACCTCCCCTTCTTGGGCTCAAGTGATTCTCTTGCCTCAGGCCTCCCAAGTAGCTGGGACTACAGGTGCCTGCCACAACACCAGCTATTTATTTTTTTTGGTTGTGGTTGTCATTGTTTAGCAGACTAGGGCTGGATGTGAACCCACTAGTTCCAGTGTATGTGGCTGGCGCCCTAGCTGCTGAGCTATAGGTGCCAAGCCCAAGACTCTGTTTCAAAAATAAATTAATTAAATAAAATAAGTTAAAAAATGGAAGTCAAGAAACTGAATATGATTTTACTATCCAAGACTAGTGTGAAGTCCCATCCTTAATGTGAGGTCCAAAATATTTATTTATTTATTTGAGACAGAGCTTCAAGCTGTCGTCTTGGGTAGAGTGCTGTAATATCACAGCTCACAGCAACCTCTAGCTCCTGGGCTTAAGTGATTTTCATGCCTCAGCCTCCCAAGTAACTGGGACTACAGGCACCGGCCACAACGCCTGGCTATTCTTTGGTTGTAGTTGTCATTGTTGTATAGCAGGCCCAGGCTGGATTCCAACCTGCCAGCTCAGGTGTGTGTGGCTGGCACCTTAACCACTTGAGCTATAGGCACTGCACCCAAAATATTTATGTTTACAATCTTTATTAGTATTGAAAAGTTAATTAAGATTTCAGTTTTATAAAATTTACTCATTAATTAACTTAGTCTTAGGTTTGTTTTGTACTTATTTCATAATGAATACCTTTACTTCCATGAATACGTTCATTTTTCATTTAGTCAGTGCATGGCTAAGCACACAAAAGACTGCCAAGCACCAGGCTGTGCTGGAAAGCAGGAGGCTGAGTGGTATAACTGGAATTCCTTGTTGGGGAAGACCTGACTCAATAAAAAAAATATGCGATGTTTTAAACAGATTTTTTTTTTTGAAACAAGCTGTCACCCTGGTAGCGTTCTGTGGCATCATAGCTCATAGCAACCTCCAACTCCTGGGCTTAAGCGATTCTCTTGCCTCAGCTTCCCAAGTAGCTGGGACTACAGGCATCCACCACAACGCCCGGATATTTTTGGGTTGCAGCCGTCATTGTTGTTTGGCGGGCCTGGGCTGGATTCAAACCTGCCTGCTCAGGTATATGTGGCTGGCACCTTAGCCGCTTGAGCCACAGGCACCGAGCCAACAGATTCTTTTTTTTTTGCAGTTTTTGGCCAGGGCCAAGTTTTAACCCACTACCTCCAGTATATGGGGCTGGTGCCCTAATCCTTTGTGCCACAGTGGCCACCTCAACAAATTCTTAATATAGAAAAATTTGGGCAAAAATTGATATAGGAAAATGAGAATCTGACCTGAATGAAGAGATCATCACAAGAAATCTTAACTAGAACAGGAAACATAAAACATTTGCTTCAGTCCAGGAAGATGGAGTAGATGAACAGGACACATTATGTGGATTGAAAACAGTTATTTTTGGATTGGTTTGTTTGGATTGTCCTGAACAAGTGCTGCAACCTGGGTGATGTAGGAATGTTCCTCCTCACAGTTGGAGGCCAGAAGTTTGATGAGATCAAGGTGTCTAGAGGGTTGTTTCTCCTGAGACCTCTCTCCTTGAAATCCAGGGGACTATCTTGTTTGTTCATATGTCTGTGTCCTCATCTCCTTTTATAAGGACTTAAGTCTTATTGGATCAGGGCCCACCTTAGTGGCCTCATTAAACATTAATACGTCTTTAAAGACCCTGCCTCCAAAGACAGTCATATTATGAGGTTCTAGTGGTTAAGATTTCAACATACGATTTTTTGGGAGATACATATCAGCCCCTAACACACAGAATTGAAAAGTTGGTAACAGGGCCATGCACAGCAGCTCACACCTGTAATCTTAGGTCAAAACAAGAGAATCAGGCTTAGTGCCCATAGCTCAGTGGTTATGGCCCCAGTCACATATACCGAGGCTGGCGGGTTCAAACCTGGCCTGGGCCTGCTAAACAACAATGACACTAAAACAAAAAGAGAGCCGGGCATTGTGGTGGACTCCTGTAGTCCTAGCTACTTGGAAGGCTGAGGCAAGAGAATCCCTTAAGCCCTAGAGTTTGAAGTTGCTGTGAGCTATGATGTAACAGCACTCTACTGAGTCAACATAGTAAGACTTGGTCTCTTGAACTGAGGAATTTGGGGTTACTGTGAGCTAGGCTGATGCTGCAGCATTCTAACCTAGGAAACAAAGTGAGACTCTGTTTGGAAAAGGAAAAGAAGGAAAAGTAACTTGTGGCACTGCACTCCAGCCTGGGCAAGAGAGTGAGACTGCTGCCATTTCCTTTAGAAAAAACAAGGTAAGAAATATAGAGATCATCTAGGACAGCACTGTCCAGTAGAGTGTTCAGTCATGATGCAATGTTTCACATCTCTGCTGTCCAGGAAGGTAGCCACTAGTTGTGTACGGCTATTCAGTGCATGGAATGTACCTAATGCGACTAAGAAGCTGAATTTTTAACCTTATCTAATTTTGAGCTATTTAAATGCTATTGATATGATAACATTTAGAAGATGCAAATCTTGATGAATCTCTTTATTTGGGTCAAAGTAGTTGAGAAATGGGTCCAGAGTCACCCAGATAATTTGAAATAATTGTGAAATAGGCTGAGTTCTTGAATTCTTAAATGGACTTTGTTACTTATAGACTATAAAATTAAACCTAGATAAAATTAAACCTATTTCTATAACATAGAAATACCTTCAGTTTGTTCTTTCTCCTGCTACAAAGCCATGGTAATTGTATAATTTTGACAAATAGATTTTAGAAATAAGAAAAAATTTTTCTACTCTTTAATTTTTAAAGGGGCTGGCTATTTGCATGTAACAAGTGTTTAAATTAGCTCAATAAGACTTCAGTTGTCAGACTGAAGGGTCTATTTAAATAAAACTCATCTCTTCAGGGGAAAAATTGATAGGTGGTTTTTTAAGAAAAAAATCTATATAATTCATTTAGAGCAGGTGCTTTGGTACATGGTTTATTCAGAAGATCTGAATTGAAAAATCATTTCACAAAGGAAGAATTTAAAAAGATCTTGCTTTTTGAGGATAGAAATGGATTGTTAAATTAATAGTTTGGCTTTTGTTTGATTCTGTCCTTTCACATTTTGAAGAGATTTTTCTCAGTAAACCTTGGTAATTATTTTTTAACTTTTCATTTTAAACTAACATTAGACTTTACAAAAACTATACAGAGAATTCCCACAATACCCTTCACCCAGCTTCCCTTAATGTTAACATCTTATATAACCATGATCAAACTCAGGAAATTAGCATTAGTACAATATTACTAACTAAGCTGTAGTTTCACCAATGTCCTTTTTCTGTTCTAGGAACCTATCCAGGTTCCCGCTTTGCCTTAAATGTAACTTCTTCTGTGTTTCCTTCATTCTGGTTCCTCAGTCTTTTCTTTTGTTTTCTTTACACTTTTGAAGAATTTCAGTTATTTTGCAAAATGTCCTTCCATTTGATTTACATATTTTCTCATTATTTTACTGAAGTTATGCATTTTTGGTAAAAATATCACAGAAACAGTGTCATGTCCTTTACCATGCGTAGAATCAGGGAGTTCAGTAGCTGATTTATCTTATTACCTTTGATGAGCTTTAGAAATCATGATGATGAAAACTATGATTTTTTTAATATAACATATCTTAAGATTACTATAAAATGTGAGTCCATTAAAACATTTGCTCTGCAATGCTATGATTTACCAAACACGAAAACGGTGATTGAAGTTGGGTATAAGCATCACTAGTTAGTTATGGGATGAAGTTAGTAAAAGTTTACTAACAAAAATAAACTGTTCAGTAGTGAGGAAAATAACTTTTTTTCTTTCAAATGAGGCAATTCTTCCTTCATTAAAAAGTTAAGAAAAGAATTCTCAATAGAAGAGTTCTTCCCAACTAATAGAATTGTCTTTGTAATAGAAAATTGTCTTGGCTAAGGTATTTAACTCTAGGTAACTTATCAGTAGAACATTAAATGAGGAAAAAAGTGATTGCTTTAGTAGTCTTCTTGCTCGTGTGTGTGTGTGTGTGAAAGAGAGAGAGATTAGAATTATATCAGAAATCGAGTCGTTAAAAGCAATTTCTAAGTGTAGCCTATTTATATAAAATCCATTTAGTACATCAAATTTTTATATTTTTGGCATTTTAAAATACTGAATAAGATAAAATATGTTGGCAAATTCAAAAGAAATACGTTATATGCCTCAAAACTTATTGACATTTAAGTTTCCTCGTGTTTCATTAAGGAATGAAATTTAAGCTGGATGTGGTGGCTCACTCCTATAATCCCAGCACTTTGGAAGGCCAAGACAGGAGGATCACTTGAGCCTAGAAGTTTGAGACCAACATGGGCAACAAAGTGAAACCACCATCTCTAAAAAAATAATAATTTATTTAATTAACCAGGGCTGTGTCATGCACCTATATGTTGTCCTAGCTACTTAGGAGGCCGAGGCAGGAGGATTGCTTGAGCTCAGAAGTTCAAGGCTGGAGTGAGCAATGATTGTGCCACTGTGCTCCAGCCTGGGCAACAGAGCAAGACACTGTCTCTAAAAAAATTTTTTTAAATAATGAAATTGTATTTTAGGATTCGATGCTCTAAAAATATCATACATCATTGTTGGGTTTTGTTTATAGATGTTTTCAGGCTATAATGTTTATTTCTCAAAAGAAAATGGGTTGAAACTCTTCCATAGATAACTGTATCTGTCACCATGAAGGTGGGAACTATTCCACAGTGAGCCTAGTACTTTGGTACTTATTTATATTTCTTCACTTGCCAGATTTTCTTCACTATGAACATTTCAGTGAAGTATTTGTATTTTTGTTATTTTGAGGTTGTCTTTGAAAACATTCTTAGACTATAAGTCCTATAGTAAAAGTGAGTATTTCTGTCCCTTCGAAGTAGCAGTATACAGTGTAATGGATAGAATTTTCTTTTTATTTTATTTTAGTGCAGCAATCAGCAAACATTGGGAGGCTGAACTGGCTACCCTTAAAGGAAATAATGCCAAGCTCACTGCAGCCCTGTTGGAGTCCACTGCCAATGTGAAACAATGGAAACAGCAGCTTGCTGCCTATCAAGAGGAAGCAGAACGTCTGCACAAGCGGGTAATTCCAGGGCTGCTGTCCAGAGGGATTTAAGGCTAATAGCGTTTCTTGAACAGAGGAAATTTGCATGTAGACTCAGCACAGAGACATCTTCTAGGGATATTGGTTAGTTGTCAAAGCATATATATGGATTATATTCAATGAGTTTATTTAAGAAAAATATTTTCCACGGCTTAATGAAAAGGAGAAATATTCAGCTTTTGAAGTCAAAAGACCTGATTGTAAATTCAATTTCTGCCAGTTATTAGCCGAATGTCCTTTAATAAGTTAATTTCCTCTTTTAACTCTGTATTCTCATCTATGAAATAGGAATAATATGCTTTCTGTGCAGTTTCTCAAAAATTGAGATCCTCAATTCACATCTTATTAAGATACTGTATAAATAAAGCTGTTTGCATGGTTTTTAATTTTAACCTAACAATTTCCAGTGAAGTCACAGGCACATTACATACATAAACACGTAGATAGACATAGACATACATGCTTACTCCTGACTGCGATTACCCTCACTGAGTCAAAAATACATATTCTGTGTAATTCCTATGAAAATCATGGCATATAGTCATACTGACTCACTGAATTGCGGGAAGCTAATGAGCTGTTTTCATTATTATACTTACTGGTTTTTAAAGAAGGAACAATTTGAAAAATACAAGTAGAAAATTCTGTAAAAGTGAGCAATATTAGGCTGGGCATAGTGGCTTATGTCTGTTATTCTAGCACTTTGAAGACCAAGGTGGGAGGACTGTTTGAGGCCAGGAGTTTGAGAGTAACTTGAGCAATATAGCAGAACCCCCCTGTATCTACAGAAAATAGAAAAATTAGACATGGTGGTACAGGCCTATAGACCCAGCTTCTCAGGAGGCTAAGATGAGAGGATGGTTTGATTTCAGGAGTCTGAGGTTATATGTAGCTGTGATGACATCTCTGCACTTGCACCAGGGTAACAGAGTGGGACCCTATCTCAAAAAAAAAAAGTGTATTAGAGATCTGGGGTAGGAAAAGAAAACCAGAAATCCCAATATCATTAATATCAGAAGTCCAAACAATTACTTATAAAGAATTCTTTTAATTCAAAGAATAGAAATGCATTTACCCAACAAGAAGCGGATGCCATTAATTTATCTTTTTAAAAAAGATGTCAAAGATGTGAAGTCCAGGGAGGTGCCTGTGGCTCAGTGACTAGGGTGTTGGCCCCATATACCGAGGGTGGTAGGTTCAAACCCATCCCTGGCCAAACTGCAACAAAAAATAACTGGGCATTATGGGAGGCACCTGTAGTCCCAGCTACTTGGGAGGCTGAAGCAAGAGAATTGGCTAAGCCCAAGAGCTGGAGGTTGCTGTGAGCTGTGACGCCATAGCACTGTAATGAGGTTGACAAAGTGAGACTCTGTCTCTAAAAAAAAAAAAAAAAGTGAACTCCATGGACCAAAGGGAATATGACAGAGCACAGTTTCAGATAATAGGACCAGGATGACAGGACAAGTAAAATATAAATAGAGTAGAAACAGGAAGGGAAGCTAGAAACCTGAGTGAATATCATTCTGTCCAATGTATAAAAATTAACTTGTGAGGGGACAGCAGGGAAAGGAGAGTTAGGCTTTGAGGCAGAGTCTCATTCCATTCATTGCCTTGGGTGGAGTGCAATGGGGTCATCATAGCTCACTACAACCTCAAGCTCAGGGGCTCACATGATCCTCCTGAGTAACTGGGACTGTGGGTGAACAGTTGAGACTACAGGTGCATGTACCATGACACTTGATTTTTTTTATTTTCAGTAGAAAGGAAGGTCTTGCTCTTTTTCTTGTTCAAGCCAATCTCAAACACCCAAACTCAAGGGAGCCTCTGGATCCTCCCACCTCTAGTCACCTGTCAGGCCTAGAGAATTAGGTGTATATTTTCTGTTTTGCAAGATAAAAGGTTCTGGAGATCTGTTTCACAGCAGAGTGAATATACTTAACAGTGCTGAACTGTATACTTAAAAATTATTAAAATGCTAAATTTTGATTTTTTTTTTACCACAATAAAAAACAAACCTTAAAAAAAAATCCTAACATGATAATTAAGTCACAGCCAGTCAGTAGTCATTATGTGGCTATAATGTCTCCTCATTACAAAATCTCCTTAAGGAATTTCTGTTTGAACCCGGTCCAGCCAAACTGCAACAAAAAAATAACCGGGCATTGTGGTGGGTACCTGTAGTCCCAGCTACTTGGGAGGCTGAGGCAAGAGAATCGCCTAAGCCCAGGAGTTGGAGGTTGCTGTGAGATGTGACGCCATGGCACTCTACCAAGGGTGATAAAGTGAGACTCTGTACAAAAAAAAGGAGGAGAAGTGGTTGGGGGTCCCTCCCTGAAGGACCTGTTACCCTCCCTGGTCCTATTACCTGAAACTGTGCTCTGTTATATGCCTCTGTTATAGTCCCTTTTGTCCATGGAGTCCCATTTCCCAGGCTGTGGGCACCCTGCCACCCACAGCCCGTTCTACAAAGTACTTTAAAACAAAAATTGTCAAGGCACACCTAAGATCCTCTCACACACTGGTTGAAACTCACTGCTTTATCTCTAAGACATAACCTTTCTGAAGTTTTACTGGAAAGCTTGAGGCGTTTACCAAAGACCTCTGGTGGCCAGTCTAGAACTTCAAACTGTCTTTTCCGCAGCGAGTACCACCACAGCTTAGTTCCTTCAGCCTTTTTCCCCGCTGCATTTAGCTATTCCAGCTGTTCTCAGGAGTCTCAGATTCTGTATGCTCCTCAGAGAAATGACTACGGTTTCTCCTCGACTTCAGGGGAGCAGAGCAGGGCAGCCAGACTGCAGAGTACCTTCAGGCAAAAAGATGTGCGGATGTGTATTTCACTCAAAATGAACTCTTTCTTTCAATCTTTTGCCTAATTTAATTATTCACCGCAGCCTTCAGTTAATTTTTATGTTTTGCCCACAGTTTGTTCTCTGTGGGAAAGTTATTCCAATATCAGAACTGGAACTCCCCTTAAGCAATTTATTATATAACCAAAGAAACCTAATGTATACTGTTAAATAATAAGGAAATGTTCTCAAGATTTTTGAATAGATGCTCAGTTTTATGAACCAGAGGACAGAAAAGCCCTGTGGGCTTCAGCAGATAGGAAAGGCTTTCTGGAGAAGGTATGTGCTGAGTTTAAAAATGAAGGTTTGATAGGATCTTCAGAGGGACAAGGGGACATTCTAGTTAAGTCAGCAAGGTGGGCACGAACATGGTTTGTCCTTTGCCTGCCTTTTTTTTTTCTTTTTAAGACAGTGGCCTTCAGTAGAGTGCTGTGGCGTCATAGCTCATAGCAACCTCAAACTCTTGGGTTCAAGTGATCCTCTTACCTCAGCCTCCCAAGTAGCTGGGACTACAGGCACCTGCCACAACGCCCAGCTAATTTTTCTATTTTTAGTAAAGATGAGGGTCTCGCTCTTGCTCATGGTGGTCTCAGACTCCTGAGCTTAAGCAATTCAACTTCCTCAGCCTCCCAGAGTGCCAGGATTACAAATGTGAGCCACTGCACTTGGCCTCTTTGCCTACTGTGAAGATGGCGAAGTGGTTGGGGCCAGTGCATGGAGGAACTTAGGGTTTAGATTTGATATTGTAAAGAAGAAGAACCACTGGAAGACTGTAAGAGGGGAAGTCACACAATGAAAGAGAATCAGTTGGCAATTTGCAGAATAGGTAAAAGTAGGCAAAAGTTATAATTAAGTCAGTTGGTAGGCCATTGCTTTTGTTCAGGCCTGGGTGATAAGCGTCTATGCTAGGCTATTAGTAAATAAATAGAAAGAAAAAAAAATGAGAGTAGAGTAACAAAGTGTAGATATTTAGAAAAGGCAAGGGAGAGGAAATTATTCTGTTTTTTTAATAGTCTAGAATTTACAATATTCTAGTCAACCAGAATTGGGGATGTATGTATATTTATGTTTACTTCTGTCTGTTTGATCATCTAGATGGTATAACTTTAAGGACATTACCCCTCTCTGTTCTCTCAGAAAATACCAAGTTCTCATTAAAAGTTAATATTGCTCATTGGGCCCTCAGTAAATTCTTATTGACTAAAATGTTCTTACCCATAGAGGCACTATTGATTTGAAGTCATTCTTGCATCAAAAGATTTAAGTTGTATTTTAAGCATTTTTCTTCCAGATCCTCTTACATTTTGAAAATATATTTCAAAAAAATTCTCACTTCTTCAAGGCCAAATTTCAGAACTCATATTTAATTTGAAGACTGCAGATGGAGGGCAGATGGCCATATCTGATCTAGAATATGTTTTCAGAAGAAATTCTTTTATAAGACATTCATTCTGGTGATTCTCTATTGTTGTTAATCCCTTAATCTAAGCTTTCCTAACCTTTCCATGACCAAGCTATGTATATAGCTATTTACTTTGGTCTTTTTCCCTTTTCCTAAAGTTTTATCTTTAAAGATTCTATTCATTCTACCCTAAGTGTCTTAATATTTCTTAAAATTTATTTTCATATTTAGATTTCCATTTTGTTTTTCACTTACGGGGGCTTATGTCTTCAATAAGAAACTCTTTGAAATTACGATTTAATTTAACCTGTGTTCTCATTTAATTTTAGGTGACTGAGCTCGAATGTGTTAGTAGCCAAGCAAATGCAGTGCATACCCATAAGTCAGAGTTAAATCAGACAATACAAGAACTGGAAGAGACGCTCAAAGTGAAGGAAGAGGTATTTGCTATTTTCACTCACCTATAGTCCAGCTAACATGTGTCTATAAAATTAAAATTATTGTCTGTGTCAAATTTTAAGGTATTTCAAGGAATAAAGTAAGGTTGTGGGCCTTTTTCTAGGGTGAAATTTTTCATTTTGAATGGTATTAAACTTGTTTATATTTTCTCCATATTTATTTCTGTTGTTACGAACTAGTGAAGCAGTCACATCTTCTGTATGAGAGTTATATTTATATAATCAACGGAAAACCATTAGAATTTAAATGACTTTTACAAGCTATTGCTTTCTTTGGTTTCCAATCAAAAGCTTTAGTATCCTAGGAAAAAATTATTTCCACAAAGCTTTAAACCTTAAAATGCTCTTATTGTTTTTAAGCAGTGCTATACCAAAGCTACCAAGTTTAGACTTGTGTGAGACTATTCTGTTCTAGACAACATACCTATAAAGATGAATTCATCCCTTTAAACGTCAGTATAAAGGAATTTTTTAAAGTCATCTTTCTCTGAGACCTGGGCCAATAAGGTCTTCCCTTTCCTTAATATAGTTTTAATGTTGTTGTTAAAGACATTGCTCTACCTTTTCCAGGAAATAGAAAGATTAAAACAAGAAATTGATAATGCCAGAGAACTACAAGAGCAGAGGGACTCATTGACCCAGAAGCTACAGGTGAGCTATACTAAAATGTTTAATTTATTTCTGCCTAGAAAGATACCAATTTTTTTGCATACTAATGACCTTTTTCCCGAGACTCCATTTTGTAGGTTTTGGTCAATTTCTTTTCTAAGATTTTCTGATTCATGCCTTATCTTTGATTTTTCAAAAACTACTTGATAACTTTACCTAAGTAGCTTACAGTCATCATAGATGGTCATTTATAAGTTATACATTTTTTTGGCTGGGCAAGATGGCTCATGCCTATAATCTTAGAATTCTGCAGGCTGAGGCAAGAGGATCCCTTGAGCTCAGGAGTTCAAGACCAGTCTGAGCAAGAATTCAAAATATAAAAATTAGCCACATGTCATGGTAGGCAGCTATAGTCCCACCTACTCAGGAAGCTGAGACAGAAAGATTGCTTGAGCCTGATGTTGCTGTGTGCTATGATGACACCACTGTACTTTAGGCAGGGTGACAGAATGAGACTCTGTCTCCAGAAAAAAAAGTTGCAAATTTTTAGGAAATTATTTTAGAAATTTCTGTTTTTAACATAAAAAAATACTCTGATTTAATGAAAATTTCTCAAACGGATTTCATTGCGTTTAGGAATTCTGCTCTTTTTTTCAATAATGTATGAATTAACAGCAATAGTTGAGCCCTAATAGAACATAGTTAGTGCTCCTTTTCTTTCTTCAGTCTGCATTAATGGTATTCTTCCTGATTCTAATTTATATACAAGCATTATGAGTCAGCGTTAGTCAGACATGACAGGGGAAGAATTCTCACAATTCATTATCATAATCTTCCCCTGCCAGCTCAAACACTTTTCTTACACCCCCATGGTTAGCTGCCACATTAAAGAAAGGTTGGCACTACTTTAGAGTAGAAGTAAAGTGTTTACATCAGGGGTCCTCAAACTTTTTAAACAGGGGGCCAGTTCACTGTCCCTCAGACCGTTTGGAGGACCGGATTGCAGGCCCAGGGACGAGTCGTTTGCTAAGCAGGACAGGCAGCGGGGCAGAAACACCCGGCGGGCCAGATAAATGTCCTAGGATAAATGTCCTAGGCAGGCTGCATGTGGCCTGCGGGCCGGGCCGTAGTTTGAAGACGTCTGGTTTACATAGAGTGAGGAATTTGGAATAAGGCATAATAAGAGGAACATCATAGCCCAAGATTGGAAGGAGGACCTAGATTATGAAACAAATGGCTAACATGTATTGAGTGTTTGCCATATACCAGATGCTGGGCTAAGTATTTTACTTTTGTTATGCATTTAATCCAGGTAACAGTCATAATAACCCAGCTGAAGAAGCTGAGGCTTAGAGAGGTTACCTTTTCCAACCTGTATTTAAATGGAGACAAATTCTAAAACCTGTGCCTTTGACCATCGAACTCTGTAATAGTAGAGACCCTTCATAAAGAAAATAGGTTCCTTATATAAAATGAAATATCTCCTCTTTCTCTCCCATCACTGGCTTTCATCAGTCTGGGGAAAATAAGATTACTTGTTTTGGTTTGCTTTGGGACAGTTTTGCACCTCTGGAGGATATTTCACAAGGTGGAGACTTTTTTTTTCTGGAGACATTTTTTTATTTTCACGACCTAAGAAGGGTGGTGTGCAACTAACATCTAGTAGGCAAAGGCAATGCTGCTGCTAAGTATTAGGTTATCCAGCTCAAAATGTCAATAATGCCAAGGTTCAGAAACTGTTATAGAACTCAAATAAGAAGCATGGAATCAGGGCGGAGATAAACGGGGGAAATTCACTCTGGTTTTGTCTTTTGTTTTGGGTTTTGAGTCCTTCCTATGATTTAGGTGTATACTAAGCATTTCCATACATTAGTGCTAATTGTCACATTAATAGGTTGGGGTATCCCCATTTTCCAAGACAAGATAGCCATTCAGAGGTGTTAGTAAGTGTAGTCAAGACACTTAGCTAAAAAGTAATGAAGCTTAGATAAATTTCATTCCAAAGTCTCTATTCCTTATGCATTATCATACTTCTTCAAAGAGTAAGCGTCCAAACCATCCCTAATGATTTTTTTTTTTTGAGAAACAGAGTCTCACTTTATTGCCCTCGGTAGAGTCCTGTGGCGCAATAGCTCACAGCAACCTCCAACTCCTGGGCTTAGGTGATTCTCTTGCCTTAGCCTCCTGAGTAGCTGAGACTACAGGTGCCTGGCTATTTTGTTGTTGTTGCAGTTTGGCCAGGGCTGGGTTTGAACCCGCCACTCTTGGCATATGGGGCTGGCACTCTACCCACTGAGCCACAGGGGCCGCCCCCTAATGATTCTTTTTAAAAATATTTTCAGTATATGCAAATTTACATTGTCTTACTTACAAAGAGAAACTAAGACATGATTTATTTGTATGAGACTTCTATGTGGGTTCTTCTAAATGTGTTTTATCATTGATTGAGCAGTAACTGAATTTTATAGATAGCACCTGAAATTGTGAATATTAGTTCTTACCTATTCTTTCATTGAATATCAAAAATAATTATCAAAAACAGCCTACCTGGAACAGGATAGGGAAGCTTTCAGAAAACATGAGGATGAATTCCGAAAAGACTTTAAGCCACAGAAATAACCTGTGTTTTTCCAATTTAGAGAAAATTCCTCTTCTGCAGCCTGTAGATCCCTCCTACTTACACATCTCCTATGTATCCAAAATCCCACCATCTTTTGTTCATAAATTTAGTCCAGAAAATTAGGATCATTAAATTTGTTGGATGGTAGAGAAACTCCTTAAAATTGCAGTATGTAAAGTTAGATTAGAGGTATGAATATGGATAGAAAATATATGGTTATGAGAAATTAATGTTATGGTTTTTCTAATTAATAAGTTTTGACATTTGGAAGTATTTGCTTATTTCTACATATCAATGTAACATACGTTCATTTTTAAAAATTTAGAAAAAATTGGGAAAATACTTAACAGATTAAAAAAAATCAATCATAATCCCATTATTCTCAGGCAAAGCATTTGGCATTTCTTTGTCTCTGTGTTTGTTTGGATAATATTTTCTTCACATGAGACATACAGAGACACAATTTTTGGTTTCCTAACTTAACTTTATGTGCTAAACCCAGTGGCTGTGTAGTATTCTTCCATACAGAGGTCATAGTTTCTTCCAATATTTGTACAGGAGTGGCAATTTATGTTTCCAGTGTTATCTTACAAGTAATGGCATAATGAATTTTTTTACAGAAATCTTTGCCTTCCTGATTATTTCTTTAAGATGAAATTTTTTTGTTTTTTTTTTTTTGAGACAGAGTCTTACTTTGTCACCCTCGGTAGGGTGCTGTGGCATCACAGCTCACAGCAACCTCATTCTCTCGGGCTTAAGTGATTCTCTTACCTCAGCCTCCCAAGTAGCTGGGACCACAGGCACCCACCACAATGCTTCGTTTTGTTTTTTTTTTTTTAGAGGTGGGATCTCATTCTGGCTCAAGCTGGTCTCAAATTCCTGAGCTCAGGCAGTCCACCTGCTTTGGCCTCCCAGAGTGCTAGGATTACGGGCGTGAGCCATGACACCCAGCCTCTTCCATCATTTCTTTCAAAGAATCCCATCAATTCTAATACATGATATTTAATGTTTTCATTATCATTATTTATTGAAACTCTGTCATTTTGGTTTTCCTTTTCATTTTCACGTAAGAGATGTTTAAAAGGTTTCTTAATTTCCTGGTGGAAGGGTCTTTTTATATTTGTGATCGGTCTTTAATTTCCAGTTGTATTGTATTTGTGATCACAAGGTTTCGTTTGTATAGTTTCTTTTTCTTTTTTTTTTGGTAATTTCTACTTATATAATTTCTGTTGTTTCTTTGACGACCTAATTTGTATAAATGCTCTTGTGTGTCTTGTATATAGTTGGATAGTGCTTTGTCAGGCAGCTGAAAATACTTGTATATATGTTATAATTTCTGTGTATTTAATCATTTTTTTCTTTAGCTATAGGATGTATTCTATCTTTTAATACATAAGGTGGTTTTAACTCTGTTGTAGTGGTTACCTTTCAACTTATACCTTTTTTATTTAAATTTCTGCTATCTGGTTTGTTAGGTTTTTTTGTTTGTTTGTTTTTTGAGATAGAGCCTTCAGCTGTTGCCCTGGGTAGAGTGATGCTATGGCATCACAGCTCACAGCAACCTCCAACTTGTGGGCTTACACGATTCTCTTCCTCAGCCTCCCAAGTAGCTGGGACTACAGGTGCCTGGCTATTTTTGGTTGTAATTGTCATTTTTGTTTGGCAGGATTCGAACCCACCAGCTCTGGTGTATGTGGCTGACGCCTTAGCGCTTGAGCTACAGGCACCAAACCTGTTAGTTTTTAATGGTATTTTTTGACTGTGAACTATTACATATTTAATAACAACAAACCTGTTCTACTTTTCTTCTTTCCTTTTATTTCTCCTCCTAGTTTTTAGTTGTACTATTTCTCCATTGTCAGAATGTTTAACATTATATTACTTTTTAACCTTTGCTTTACTCTTTGATGAACATTAAATATACTAACTCTCACTGTCTTAGTCTTCTGTGCCACTATGGCAGAGTACTACAGATAAAGTAATTTATAAAGAACGGAAATTTATTCTGGTGACTGGGAAGGCCAAGGTCCAAACGCAGACAGGTTTGGTGTCTGGTGAGAACTGCTCTTTGCTTCTAAAATGGCCTTTGTAGCTTGGGGCCTGTGGCTCAGGCAGCTAAGGCGCCAGTCACATACACCTAAGGTGGCGGGTTCGAATCCAGCCCGGGCCCGCCAAACAACAATGATGGCTGCAACCAAAAAATAGCCAGGCATTGTGGCGGGTGCCTGTGGTCCCAGCTACTTGGGAGGCTGAGGCCGGAGACTTGCTTGAGCCCAGGAGTTGGAGGTTGCTGTGAGCAGTGAAGCCACAGCACTCTATCCAGGGGGACAGCTTGAGGCTCTGTCTCAAAAAAAATAAAAATAAAAAAAATAAAATGGCCTTTGTTACTGCATCCTCAGAGGGAAGGGGGGCTGTGTGTTCA